ATGCAATATTTTAATTGTGTTTGGTATTGGTGATGAAAGTAATTCAAATTAATCCTGGACCCTCAGACAAATACTTCGTATGGGTAAATATCAGAAGATATTTATTTTACCCATGCATAAACATGGTTGTCTTTTATAGCAAGAAAAGCAAAATCCTGGGGACTTCCGCCAAGATGGAGGCATAGGTGGATGTGCCGTGCCTTCTCACACAACCAAGATTAGAGAAAACTAAATATTAGCAATAGAAAACACAGCCAGAACACGGAAAATTGAACTTTTCGGAAGTCCGTTAACAACAAATTCTTCAGCCTGACCGGTAAGGGGCGAAACCAGCGGCTGGCGGAGCAGGGTTGCACAGGAGGACTCGGCCAGACACACTCAGGCCCACGGAATCCAGGCGCAGGGTCAGACCTAGTGAGCGACCAGGCGAGCGACCGCGGGGGAGACAGCCGGGCCCGGGGCTGCGTGCTGACTGAGGTCGCGCATTTGTGCGAGGGTGGACAGGCGAGAGAGTGGGCGGTTGGACCGGGCCAGCAGGTCCCCACGGCACAGCAGTGGAGTGCGCCGCCATTTCCCCGCTCTGGCCACACCCCCACATATAGCGTCACACCCCAGCGACCAGGGAATCCAAGGCTCCGCTTCTCACATTTAAAGGGCCCGAACAGACCAAGAATGGCACAGGAGGATCTCAGAGCCCCAGAGCCAATAAATCTAAGTGATGAAGAAATAGCAAAACTCACAGACGCACAGTTTAAAACATTGGTGATCAGGATCCTCACAGAACTGGTTGATTATACCGACAAATTAAATATATGAAGGCGAAACTAATTGAAATGAATGGAATTGCACAGGACACCAATAGCAATGAAAAGGAAACTGGGACTCAAATCAATGGAGTGGACCAGAAGAAGGCAAATAATGGCCAAACAGAAAAGAGTGAAGCAGCAAGAATTCAAAGAAATGAGGAGAGTCTTAGGAACCTCCAGGACATCTTTAAACGCTCCAACATCCGAATTATAGGGGTACCAGAAGGGGGAAAGGCACAGCCACCAGTGGAAAACTTATTTGAACGAATAATAAAGGAGAATTTCCCCAATCTGGCAAAGGAAATAGACTTCCAGGAAATCCAGGAAGCTCAGAGAGTCCCAAAGAAGTTGGACCCAAGAAGGAACACACCAAGGCACATCGTAATTACATTAGCCAAGATTAAAATGAAGGACAGAATCCTAGAAGCAGCAAGAGCTAAGGGGACAGTCACCTACAAAGGAGTCCCCATCAGACTGTCAGCGGATTTCTCAAAAGAGACCTTACAGGCAAGAAGGGGCTGGAAAGAGGTATTCCAAGTCATGAAATCCAAAGACCTACAACCAAGATTGATCTATCCAGCAAAACTTTCATTTAGAATGGAAGGACAGATAAAGTGCTTCTCAGATAAGATCAAATTCAAGGAGTTCATCATCACCAAGCCCTTATTATATGAAATGTTAAAGGGACTTATCTAAGAAAAAGAAGTTAAAGAAACATGAACAGTGAAAGGACAACAAACTCACAGTTATTAACAACCACACCTAAAACTAAAGCAAACTAAAAGGACAGTTAGATCAGGAGTGGAAACATAGAAATGAAGATCACAAGGAGGGTTAGCAACAGGGGAGTGGGAGGAGGAGAAGGGGGGAGAAGGTACAGAAAATAAGTAGCATAGACAGTAGATAGAAAATAGATGGGGGGGGCAAGAATAGCATGGGAAATATAGAATCTAAAGAACTTGAGACACATGGTCGTAAACTAAAGGGGGGTGATGGTGGGGATGGGGGGTAGGGTGGAGGGGAATAAAGGGGGAATAGAACAACTGTAACAGCATAATCAATAAAAAAATTAAAAAAAAAAAAAAGAAAAGCAAAATCCTCAGACCTTCTGCAGACACTAGGAAAATGGAAAATATCGAAGGGTAGTCAGACTCCTGCCAATCTGCACACCACAAGCAAGGTCCCGAAGTTTGAATGAGACAGTTTCGGAAGCACAAGTGCACCAGGAGTCATCTTCTAGTTGAATGTTGCATTTTCCACATGAAGAAATGGAGGCCCACAGAGAGGAAGGAGTTCAACTCCAGCCCTCCATTCCAGTACGATTTTCTTCGTGGTACACAAGTATCCCTTCCACCCCATTCCAGTTCGGAGTGAGGAAGAAGCATGAGCAAGGTGTTGTGGGTATTCCGTTCCTGGGGCCATTGCAATGCCCAGCTGGGAGCAGAGGAGAATTTGGCGCACATAGCAGGTTGGCCAGTGGTGTTCTCACCGTGACCTCACCAGGAGAGGGCAGAGGGACAGCCCAGAGTTCAAGTTTCCCTCCTGGGGTTGAGGTCATAAGTGAAGCCAAGAGACCAGAAATGACAGAGTCCCCACAGACGGAGGGACATTCTTATTGCCTAGAACAAAGGAAGCAAGTATTTTCAAAAGCTCACCATGTGCCAGGGCAACTGCTCGGTGCTTTCACGTGTGTTCTCTTATTGCCCCTGCACAGTGTTCTCCTGGGAATATCCCAGTAACAGTGGGCCTCATCGTCACAGGCACGAGAGCTAAAGCCAGGGGTGGCATAGAACGTTTCCAAATTCACCAAACCGGAAGAGTCCTGGTTGAACCAAATCTGACCCTCAAGCCTACATCCTCTGTCTTGTCTTTCTAGGCTCTGAGCAAGGGCAAAGACATTAGAGAAAAGGGTTGGCTGGGGCATAAGACAGAGAAAGGATATGTGCGGCAATCAGGTTTGGTCAGGAGGTTGGAGCCAGGCCAGAGGGGACCTTGAACGGGGCACTGTGGGGGTGTTTCCAGGCAATGGGGGAGTCGGCATGAAGTCACTGGGTATGGAGGGTGAGGGGGAAAGGTTAGCAGGGCTGGGAGCAAAAGGAAGGGTCTCTGAGGTGGTTTTACAATATTGCCTCGACTCCCTGGGACCGGCACTGGAGATTTCTGGGCATGCGCCTCTCTCTGGCACCAGGTGACTGCCAGGAGAAGCAACAGAAAGCCTCAGGCTAGAGTTCCAGTAACTCCACCAAGAGAGGAGGTCACGTGTGCTCTCCTGGCAGCCTCTCAGCATCTTGGTCCCAGAGGACGTCCCCTGGGTCACTACCATGCTTACTTTATCAGGGCGTTTCAAAACAACCGGAGAGCTCTTTGAATAGCAGAAACCATTCAGAGATTTTGCTTCAGTCAAATAATCCAACCACAAGGGCTTGAGATCAGAGGGCTTGGCGTCAGTTTGAAGATGAGAAGGTCTCATTTTTATTTCTCCTCTTTTATTAAAACTGGCTTGGGGCTGCAACTGCAGAGACCTGGATGATGACGGTTAGTGCTGGAAGGGATGTCTTGATCTTCCAGTCATTGTTAAAGATGAGAAGACTGAAGTCTAGAGCAGTCAGGAATCTTGCCTAAGATGATATCACTCCTGCCTGGCTCCATTAGAACCCAAGTTACTGCTGCCCAAGCCCTTCACGCTCCGACTTTAACAAGGGGGTCACACATGCTGCGACCAACTTGCTTGAACAGTGGGGCATCTATTTATGCCGGGGGATTGGGGTGATAGTGTAAAATGCCTTCTAAGAGGCCTTCCAGAACATTGCCCAAGGGACACCCATTCAGCCCCAACACACAGTTCAGAAAAGGGAGAGAGCCAAAGGCTTATCTCAAGCCACCCCAAGTTACCAAACACCTCTCCGCATGCGTTACTCCCCAAACTGGCAGGGATCCGCGTCTCTTCTTCTACCTCTGCCTCCTCTTGGTTTCAGCTTGGTAAGGCTTGTGCTTTGATTTCCTTGGGAAGTAGGGGATTCCTCACGCCTGTGGGCAGTCGCCAGAGGAATCCACTTGACTGTAGTTACTCATCTGCCAAGGAGTGGGAGGCGGGGATTCCGCACCCCAGGGCATGAAAACAAATTCCTCCCCACGCCTCCATCCGGCTGGGACTTCCAGCCAAACAGCGTCCTGTGGAACCAGCTGTTGCTCTTGGCAGGCCGCAGGAAGCAGTGTTTTATTTCTGTTTCCTTCTTCAGTAGGTGACCGAAGCACGTGGCACAAAATTTTTAAAAACATAACAAAGTAGACCGTGAAAAGTGAGGGTCCTTCCCGGTCTTGACCTTAGGCTTTCGATTCCTTTCCGCAGAGGGGACATTTGCAAACAGTGTTTTGTATATCCTTTTGGATAGATTCAGTGCCCACGCCAGCATCCTTTTGATTTTTTTTAATATGTAGTAATATACTTTATACATAATCCTGCCTTTTGCCTTAATTTCGCTTTATATATTTTGGAGTTCCCTCCTTATTGAACCTCTTTTCACCAACAGTTAACTGCAACACTATCGACCAGGCTTTCTCTCTTCCTTCTCGCTTTGGAATATTCTCTGGGTTCAAGTTCAATTTTTTCCAAGCTGTTAAAGAGAAGGGAAAAACCCATCGTTTCAAAAAAAGCTACACTTGCATGCCCTGAACTCTGAAGGGTTAGATCAGCTTTTATGGCCTGTGTGCCCTGAATATAAAACTCTGTGACTCCTGGGTTATAGCCAGGAAACATCCAGAACTCACTCCTAGTGCATTCTGGGAGTCTGTGGCCATGGCGGACTGATTGGTCCCAGCCTTTTCTACAAGGGGATGGATCTGTGCAACTGAATGGGTTTCTTGACCAGATGACTATCAAATGCTCTGTTATCCAAAATGGGAGGTTGGGACTCAGTGAGCCAAAGGAAAGTTTGGCAGGGACAAGCACCAACCTTAGATGCTCTCACGGAAAAGCAGAACACTCCTAACTTATCTCAAGAACCATTACAGACAATCCAGGGGGTAGAGGGACCCAGTAGGCAGCCTGGGTCTAATCTTCATGGAAAAAAACAAGTCTTCAGCAAGTCACGCCCTCTCTAGGTTACTGCAGTCCTTTTTCATAAAATATGATTTGTCAATTCCATTCATTCACTATTTTATTTTTCTAAAAACATGTCCTTTTTCCTCCTTCAGGTGCCCCCTCAGTATCCTCCAATTCAAAGGATCAAAGCACAATTTACCAGTAAGTATTGTTGAAAGTTTCCTTTTTTTTTATTTTAAAGATTTTATTTATTTATCTTTAGAGGGAAAGGGAAGGAGAGAGGGAGAGAAACATCAATGTATGGTTGCCTTTCGTGCGTCCTCTGCTGGGAATTGGCCTGCAGAGAACTGGCCTGCAGCCCAGGCATGTGCCCTGACCAGGAATCGAACCTCGATTGTCTGGTTTGCAGGCCCGTGCTCAATCCACTGAGCTACACCAGCCAGGGTTTGAAAGTTTCCTTTTTTTAAAGAATCTCCTCTCCAGTCTCTTCACTTCCTCCACAACCCAATCTCTCACCCTTTCTCAGGGGAACATTAAATCCTGGAATTGCTGGACCCTGTGTGTTGTTTTTGTTGGAGACAAAGAGGGTGCATAAAGGAAAAAAAAGGGGGAATCATTAGTTAACAAATCTGCTTGCCACTGTATGAATTCTTGTAGATGCCTCATGAATCCTTCCAGGAACCATCTGGGTAAGAATTATTCTTATTTTTTAGGTAAGGAGACTAAGGCTTTGCTTCTTACAAGATGGTCTGTGAGACACATCATTCTTAGCATAGGACAAGATTTTTACCTTAATGAGAGTTGATTCCCAACTTTCATTATTAATGAGTTAACTTTCATTAACTAGCAGGAGAGCATGACTTAGATCCATGATTAACATTAGGATGCCCACCAGTAGTTTCTTCAAGGCTATTCATTGGTTTCTAAGTTCTCCTGAGCCGGAGGAACATATGTCTTGCCCTCCATAAGTGGTCTTCGTTTTCAATTCCAAGCATGCCCCCTGGGACTGGTACAAAGGCAAGAATTCCTGAATTGTGCCCAGAAGTGGGGACACGGGCCAGAGTGGGAACTCCGAGATGTGGTTGCTCAGCCATAATGAAGCTGATGAAAGAGAAAAGAAATTTAAACTTTTTTGGCTTACACTTGGAATGAATGGCTCCACAGAAGGTTACCAAAGCCATTACTCTGCGTCCTCCTCTTCCTCTTCTTCTTCCTCTTCCTTTTCCTTCTCTAGTGGAAGCAATTCTTCCCAGGGCTTATTCCAGGAGAAACCAGTAACACAAAGTCGAAGGGAGAGGCAGGTCTATGTTCCTGAGTGCTGTCTCCTCCTTCCTACTGAGCAGAGTCTGAGCTCACCGGCATTCTGCACACAGCAGCATCATTAAGCTTTAGTGGCTGCTGGCAAAGGACACTCAGTGCTGTTTAGCAGTCCAGTGCCCATAGTGTGTGAAAAACGTGCATTTCATAGTCAGATGAAAAGAGAATAGAAAGAGCTTCAAGCAATGGCTTTGTGTGGAGATGGTGCACGGGACCTGGCAAGTGGCCTTCTCATCCCCCTTTGCTCTCAGAGCCATTGAACAGGAAAGAAAACCCTGCAGTTGCCAGTCCCTCCTGGTTTTGAAAATCAGGGACACCTGCAAGCTCCATGTCCTGCCACAGGTCTGTTGCAAAGACCAACAATTGCTTTAATCTCTCAGCTCTTGAATCCCAGCCCCATCGGGAACTCTCTTGGGTACCAGCAGGAGCTGTGTCCTCTTCCATTCCACAGACAAAGCATGATGCTCGCTTCCTCTCACCTTTCTCAAAATCTCTCCCTATTGCTGTCTCTTCATATGTTTCTAGACACATTGGAAGGTTGTTGTCTGAAGCTGTGCTAAGGAATCATTCTTTTTGTCTTACTCCCCTTAGGCTGTGACAGTGACAGAGGATGCCTCCTCACATCCTCAAGTGAGGAGACCATGACAGTGCAAGACAACTCGGTCCCCATCAAATGTGATGGGTTTTATCTCATCTCCATAAAGGGCTACTTCTACCAGGAGATCGACCTCAACCTTTATTACCGGAACCTGGAAGTGCTCTTTTCCCTGAGCAAGGTCACATTTGTCAACTCGGTCACCGTGGCCTATCTGGGTTACAAGGACAAAGTCTACTTGAATGTGACCACTCATAATATTTCGTATGAAGACATCCAGGTGAATGGTGGGGAGTTAATTCTCATTCACCAAACTCCTGGTGGCTACTGTGTTGAATGAGGACCTGATGCCCACATGTAGGCCAGCACCGAGCACAAACGCCACACTGAGGGTGAGCAAGGACACCGACTCTTCCTTGGGAATGGAGGAGTCGTCCCAGCTCAGCCCCATCTACGGCCACACAGGATGTGACTGGAAGATCCCCCCACCCCTACTCAGGAATATTTAAGACTTATTTTATGTATCATTTAACTTTATTTATCCTCATATCTACCGAATGACTCAGCCCTCATCCCTCACATGTGCCTGAAGCTTCTCGGGTGCCTCTAAGGTGCCTCTGTGGGATGAGAAAGTAGGTGCCTCCTCCTGAAGACTCACTGTTTTCACTGGGCAGGAAACTCATAATGAACTTGCTTTATTGACAAAGACACTGGACTACCATTTGCTGGACACTTGACACCTGGCACTGTCAACATATGGAGGACCTGGGAGGGGGGCGATGAGTCTGCTGAAGGGAGTGTGGACCTACTCCTGACAGCCAAAGCTGGAAACATGGAATTGGTTTGATCGCTGCCTGAATACCTCTTGTTTGGTGAAATTCAGAAGGAAATCGCCTTGTCAACAGCTGTCTGGACTTGGTGGAGACAGGCAGCTAAGGCTGACTCTGTGTTCTGGGCTTGCTTTCCTTACCACTCTCCCAGCCTCCAAATGTTCTAAATAGAAATTCTCCTTCCAAAGCCCACCCTGGGGACATGATGCAGGGAAAAAATCAAGTTGACCATTTAAGGAAAACCAAGAAAAAGCATTCTCTAACCCAGGAGAGTGAGAGGGTTCGCTTGAGTGCACGGGAGAACCGTGAACCTGGAACTCTCAGGGGAAAGGTCCTAAGACTCTAAGCAGCCTGGGGGGGAAAGCACACTCTTTGCCACAGTTTGCCAGAGGGACACGCATGCGTCCTCCTGTTTATGCTGACAAACACTCGCCCCCATGCCTTGTACATGCACACACATCACATGGCTAGTTTCACAGATGAAACAATTCCATGATCACATGCAATGTCATGTCAAAGACACTGAGCACCCCCTGGATCTTATGAAAAACAATAATCTCTCTATATAAATGCCCTAATATCCCAGTAATATATGAAACTAGAGGGACCCATCATCAACCAACCCCTTAATGTTTCACTGAAATGTTCCTCTTGATGTATCAAGCTTCTGGCACAGTAGACAAGTGGGATTTTTCACAAGTCAAATTTCAAGTTATTGTGTGTATTCTCAAATTCTGGCTAACCTTTTTTTTAAAAACAGGAGCCAATGTCTCCCTGCCATTTTAAATACAGTACACAAAATGCCACAGACTTTCTCTGGATAATTCTGTCTTCCCCTCACTGTCCTGTGCTGCAAGGCAGAGACATCTCTAGGCTGTTCAGAAAGATGGCAGGCAGTTTGCCCCTGCACGAGGTGGTATCGCTCAGATTTCATTATTTTTATGTCTATTCAGAGGAGCTTTCCACCTCATCTGAAAGTATCTATCTCCAATTATCTTCCCGCCTTTCTATCTTAATCTGTTGTGGAGACATAGATAAGTGCTCAGTAAAAAAAAAAGGTAACTAAGAGAAATTGTGCATAAAGGTACCAGTGATCGAGGTCTAGATGCTGGCCAAGGCCTCACGTAATTATAACCATAACCATAGTTACACATTTAGGGTGGGCCTACTGCAGACCAGGCCCTCATTGGGATAAATGATTTACACAAATTCTGCTCAGCAAATCTGTCTTGACTACTCAGAGGATTTATGTGTGTAGACACCCACACACAGGAGCATGTTGACTGTGGTCTGCAAAGCTGATATTACTCAGTGAGTGTTATCTCATAAGTAAATGTTTATGACTGCAGATAATATTTAAGAAAATGTATGTTTGCTTTGTTACGCTTGGAATTTCTGACTGTACCTCTCCTGGACATGCACATTCCAGGCCTACGCACAATTGTTCTGGTGGTTGTTTGTTGTTGGTGTCATGGCCTCTACCCACAGGTGCCTGCTCCCTGTGGGCACACCTGGCCTGCTCTTCCCTCGCTGGCCTCCTTCAGCCACCCAGGGATATTTCTGCCAGGGAGCAAACTCAGTCCCCCACCTTCTGTCCTCCAAAACGGGCATGTCTCCTTTGAGTCATCCCTTCAGAGGGACAATGGACACTTCTCTGGACACAACAGAGTTCTGTGGAAACAGAACTGAATCGAGAAGTCAGGAGATTGGAATTCTAACTTGACTCAGTCGCTAACTAGCCAAATGACTTTGGGCAAATGATTTCCCATTTCTTACCCCTGTTTTCCACCCTGGTTAAGTGGCCACTTTGGAATCTTAATGCTCACAGGCAACTGTGAAAGCAAAAGCTGAGTGTCTGTGTACTGGTTGCTATGAGTCCACATATATAGCCTCTTTTACTGTATGTTTTTTTTCCCCCTTGGACAAGCTAGCAGTCTATCCTCAGCCTTCTTGGTGAATCCCTCAAGACCACTTATCAATTGTTACTTAGCGACTTCCTCCTTAGGGAATGACGTAAGGAATCCAATCTTGATCTAAGTCATAATTTGTTCTTGAATGTACTGGGAAGGTCCCCTATTTTAAGCCCTGGTTTTGTATTTAGTACTTTCTTGACTCTCAGAGAGTATTAATATTGATATTAATAATATAGCTAATAATAATATTCATATTTACATGGAAACAAATAAAAGATCTCAGAATTCACTGTTGGTTAGAGTGTCAGAATTTTTATTTACCCTTCTCTCCCTTTCCTTGTCATGCTTGGTTGACTCCCTGATGGGAGAAACCTGGAGCACATGTTCTGGTTGCCGCTCTGCCTGTCATTTCAGCTGCCAGAACCATGTCCAGTGAGTGGTTAAGCTGTCCAACTCCATCTTTGCTTTGGAAAAGACATTCATGAGCTGGAAGTCCTCAGGGCTCCTCTTCATGGTTCAAGAGACTGATCCAGATGGAATCCTGCGTCATTCTGTTCTTTCCCTCAGGACTTCTTGCCTGATTTTTTCACCCTGGAATGATTTCTGTGGGTATTATGTCCCCTCTCCTTGGCAGAAATTGCATCTGTGGTCTCAAGAAGAGGTCACAGTTTCTGATGGATTTGTGTGCCGTTGGCTACTGTGATTCCTGTACCACTCAAGATGGTGTTGACACTTCTCCCCTCTAGGAGATGCTCCTATCCTTGCTTCTTTGAACTCAGCCCTTTCTGGTCCTCTTTTCCCTGCCTTTGCCAGTCCCTTTCACCCCTCCTCTTTCTTTGCCCCCACCTAACCTTTTTAAAAAATTATTTTACTTACGTATTTTTAGAGAGAGGGGAAAGGAGAGAGGGAGAGAAATGTTAATGTGTGGTTGCCTCTTGAGCGCACCCCACTGGGGTCCTGGCCTACAACTCAGGCATGTGCCCTAATTGGGAATCAAACCGGCGACCCTTAGGTCCTCAGCCCACGCTCAGTTCACTGAGCTACACCAGCCAGGGTGCCCCCCACCCCACCTTTAACACTGCATTCTTCAAGGTTCCACCCTCAGCCCTTTTCTTCTCTATAGTCTAGCAGCCAGCAAGCCACAATCCAACCTACATATTCATTCAATTTGTTTGTTAAGTTGAATAGAGTTGCCAGCATTTAAATGCTGGGAAATATCTGGTTTCTTTTGACAAAACAAAATAGGAGATTCAGCAGTTCTGGGCTGGATTTTGGAATGGCAGCAATCAACTCAAGCAGAGTACCAGCCACCGTCTTTGGAGAGACTGTGCAGTCTCCCCTTCCCCAGAGGTACCCCATTCATATGATGTGCTTAGACTGGCTCATTTCACTCATTTGCTACATTTGAGTTCCAGGCATTTGAGTTGTGACCTTTGCTCCAGACACTTGCCCATTTCACAGACTTTCTTACGCCTTTGACCACTGCTCATATATCAATGATATCTAAAACCATTCTCCAGGATAGATGTCTTCAACTTTGGAGTCACACTTACTGCAATCACCTGAATTATTAGCAATAAAATGCTACTTACTGAGTACTTACGACATGCCAGGCATCACAGGAGTCACTTTATATGCATTGTTTAATAGTATCTTCCCCCAAACTCTTTCAGGTGGGTATTATTATCCCCATATTTTGCATCAGAACAAGCACCTGGGAGTCTTAGAGAAAAAGTAATTTGCCCAAAGGCATGCAACTAACAAGTGGTGGAGCCCAGGTTCAAGGCCAGGGGTAGTTGACACCAAAGACCATGCTCTTACCAATGGGTAGCCTGTCTCTGGGAAGCTCCAGGTGGATGCAGGGGGCACTCAGCACAGGATACTTTCACAGTCTGTCCTCTTCCTCACTGAGCCCATCTATCCCCCTGGTGCATGATGTTGGTTAGAGGCATCACAATCATGCCAGAAGTCCCAGTGTCACCCTACTTTCTCTGTCTCTGTCTCCACCCACATGCTTGTAAACTCTGCTTTCTTCTCATTAACTCTTTGTATTTCAGACATTGAGGTAACCTCCCACCAAGCCTACATACCTTAGTGAGTCCTGGTTAGATTTAGAAGATGATAGACCCCAGGTCAAGGAATGACTGAGAGGGACAACCAAAATGGAGCAGGGTGCCACTGTAGAAAGACCATGGTGTGTGGAGCCTGGTTTTAAATCCTGACTCTATTGTTCATGAGCTAGGTAACCCTGGCAAGTTTTTCTTTCCCCCCTTTTTAAAAAGCCACTCTAAATCTTACCTCCCTAATCTGTAAAGTGGGGGCATCAATATATACCTTCTGGGTTATTGTGAACATACGAGTATCTAGTATATTGCCTGAAACATAGTTGGCCTTAATACTTAATAATTACTAATTTACAAAAGTCACTCCACAAAGCAGAAGGTAGGTGCCAAATGAATAACAGAACTATGGGGATTTGGGGATGCAGAGAACACTGAAGCCTGATGGACGAGCTTAGCCGGGCTCACACTGCAGAAGAAGAGGGAAGGAGAACATGGCAGAGGAAGAACAGTGTACATAAAGACTGATGGGTAGGA